AAAAAAAAAAAAAAAAAAAAAAAGTGTCTGTTAAGGCAGGTTAGGAATTGGTAGTGCCATGTTTTTGGAATTATTCATGTGGCTCAAGACCAGATGAATATTGAAGCTTGTCTTCAGTTTTTGATAATAAAGTACATTTAAATTTTCCACATCTACAGAAATAGATTTTCCTGAAGAATTCTATGGTTTGTATAATATTTAGTAGTTGGAAGTTGTTTTAAATCGTGTATTTTGTTTGTTTTGAAACACTATCTCATTCGGTCGCTCAGTCTGGAGTGCAGTGCTACAGTCAGGCTCACTGCAACCTTGATCTCCTGGGCTCATGTGATTCTCTCACCTCCTGTGTAACTGGGCAGAGTAGCTGGGATTACAGGCACACACTGCTGCACCCAGCTAATTTTTTCTGTTTTTAGTAGAGATGGGGTTTCATCATGTTGGCCAGGCTGATCTTGAACTCCCACCGTCGGGTAATCCACTTTAATCCAAAGTGCTAGGATTAAAGGCATGAGCCACTGAGCCCGGCATTTTTTACTTTTTGTACAGACGAAGTCTCACTATATTGCCTCAAATGGTCTCAAATTCCTGGGCTCAAGGGATCCTCCCGCCTCAGCCTCCCAAGGGTGTTGGGATTCTAGGCGTGAGCCACTGTGCCTAGAAGATCATACTTTTTTAAAGTATGTGTTGACTCTCTCCTTATGAATTTTTCTTTTCCCTGTTGGTCACTCATTTTCATGATGAGTTTCCAGATCTCAGATCTGACTTCATGCAAGAGAAGTATAGAAAGTACACAAGAATAGAGAATAGTGGCCGGGCGCGGTGGCTCAAGCCTGTAATCCCAGCACTTTGGGAGGCCAAGGCGGGTGGATCACGAGGTCAAGAGATCGAGACCATCCTGGTCAACACGGTGAAACCCCGTCTCTACTAAAAATACAAAAAATTAGCTGGGCATGGTGGCGCGTGCCTGTAATCCCAGCTACTCAGGAGGCTGAGGCAGGAGAATTGCCTGAACCCAGGAGGCGGAGGTTGCGGTGAGCCGAGATCGCACCATTGCACTCCAGCCTGGGTAACAAGAGCGAAACTCCGTCCCAAAAAAAAAAAAAAAAAGAATAGAGAATAAAAGTAGAGGAGTCAGGAATGTTGTTTTAAAAGCAACCATTAGATCCCTCACCATCTCCCTTGAATTGTTCCTGATCCTTACTCTTTGACTCCTCCCTGAAAAAAACATGGTATTAGGTTGGTGCAAAAATACTTGCAGTTTTTGCCATTACTCTTTTTTTTTTTTTTTTTTTTTTTCTCTTTTTTTTTGAGTTGAAATTTCACTCTTGTTGCCCATGCTGGAGTGCAGTGGCTCGATCTTGGCTCACTGCAACCTCCACCTCCTGGGTTCAAGCAATTCTCCTGCCTTAGCCTCCCAAGTAGCTGAGATTACAGGCACCCGCCACCACACCCAGCTAAGTTTTGTATTTTAGTAGAGATGAGGTTTCACCACATTGATCAGGCTGGTCTCCCTTTCCCGACCTCAAGTGATCTGCCCACCTCGGCCTCCCAAAGTTCTGGGATTACAAGTGTGAGCCACGGTGCCCTTGCCATTACTTTTGCACCAACCCGTATAATGATTAGAAATATATCCCCTCCTCGGGAAGATGAGGCAGGAGATTGTATTGCATGAGCCCAAGAGTTTGAGACCAGCCTGGGCAACATGGGGAGACTTTGCCTTAAAAAAAGGAAAAAAGAAATATCGAAGTTGTAGCCGTTACATTTAACACAAGATCATCTTTTGTTTAGGCTATGTTAATATTTTCTAACTTGCTTTTTTCTTCCACCTATCTGCAGACAAATTCAGAATATGATCCTTCTCGGTGTTTTGCCTTTGTTCACGACCTGTGTGATGAAGAGAAGAGTTACCCAGTACCCGAGGGCAGTCTTGATATTATCATTCTCATATTTGTTCTTTCAGCAATTGTTCCAGACAAGTAAGTTTGGGTCCCTTGGCCAGTAGTGTCACAAAAAGAAAGCATTGGTGAGGGACCTTTTTTTTTTAAGATTGGGTCTTGCTCTGTCAGCCCAGGCTGGAATGCAGTGGCACAATCATGGCTCACTGCAGCCTTAACCTCTTGGCTTAAATGATCCTCCCTCCTTAGCTTCCCAAGCAGGTGTGATCACAGGCACATGCCACCAGACCTGGCTAATTTTTGTATTTTTAGCAGAGGTGAGATTTTCCCATGTTGTCCAGACTGGTCTTGAATTCCTGGTCTCAAGCGATCCTCCCACCTTGGCCTCCCAAAGTGCTGGGATTGTAGGTGTGAGCCACCATGCCCAGCTTGGTGAAGGACCTTGATATTAGAGTTGGGTTCGAAGTAAAAAGAGTTTGTTTATGTTCTGATACACGCAAAGTAGCCACATCATTTGTAGTGATGTGAGCATCTCAACCATTTTCCTAAATTTGTCTAGATGTCCAACCTCTGTTCCAGCCTTGAAACTTCTGCTTGCTGGCTACAGTCGTTGGTTCATCATTTCCTTCTTGTGGCTCAACATTGGGAAAGAATGGAGAATCAGTCTCTAATGAGTATGTTGGGAAAGTCCTGTTGATAATCTCATCACATGCTGTTTTAGAACTGTGGGTGCCACAGCTTTTAGGTAATGTCTCATTATTGGCTATTTATTTATTTGAGATGGAGTCTTGCTCTGTCACCCAGGCTGGGGTATAGTAGCAAGATCTCAGCTCACTGCAACCTCCACCTCCCGGGTCAAGCAATTCTCCTGCCTCAGCCTCCCAAGTAGCTGGGAGTACAGGCACATGCCACCCTGCCTGGCTAATTTTTGTATTTTTTTTTTAGTAGAGAATGGAGTTTCACCATGTTGGTGAGGCTTGTCTCCAACTCCTGACCTTGTGATCGTCCACCTCAGCCTCCTAAAGTGCTGGGATTACAGGCGTGAGCCACCATGCCCTGTCTACTGGCCTTTTAAATGCTTTAAATAAAGCTTATTAGCAACACAAAATTTACACTGAAGCTTAACTAAATGTTCTCGGATGCTTACAGTGTTTTGGAAAAGTGTGATACAGAATTCTATAAAATCAGATTCAGATGAAGGAAAGTCAAATGTTATATCCTAAAATACACCATTAAAACCTTATATGCAGCCAGGAGTGGTGGCACACGCCTGTAATCCAAGCACTTTGGAGGCCAAGGCGGGCGGATCACCTGAGGTTGGGAGTTCAAGACCAGCCTGACCAACATGGTGAAACCCTGTCTTTAAAACAAAAAAAAGGAAAAAAAAAAAAAAACAAAAAAAAACTTACATGCATCAAGCAACCAGTGGTCCTATGAAACTACCTTCTGTTTTCTTTCTTGAGACAGTCTCACGCTGTCACCCAAGCTGGAGTACAGTGGCGAGATCTCGGCTCACCACAGCCTCCTCCTCCCAGGCTCAAGCAATTCTCCTGCCTTAGCCTCCTGAGCAACTGGGATTATAAGCACACACCACCACACCTGGCTAATATTTTTTGTATTTTGAATAGAGACAGGGTTTCACCATGTTGGCCAGGCTGATCTTGAACTCCTGACCTCAAGTGATCCACCCGCCTCGGCCTCCCAAAGTGCCGGGATTACAGGTATGAGCCACTGCGCCTAGCCAAAACTACCTTCTCAAGGAAGCAGAGTTAGATGGTGGCTAAGAGATTCAGACACCATTGACTAATTCCATGGAAGCCCTTATCACTGCCAGAGTGCAGTAAGTCCAGACAGGCTGGGGGTTGGCACATATTAGGGTAAACTATACCCATGACATCATGGGGTTAGAGATTTCAAACATCTCATTTTACAGACATTGGAGTCCTTCAAAGGGTGATTAAGTAAATTAGCGTAAAAGGTCAAGGTAAGCTGGTGTTAGGAAGCCAGATCACATGACTAGAGACTGGAAGGACCAGTGATTGAGATTCTGGTTTATCTGCTAGTATCCAAGGACCCCTTGCTGGCAGCACAGGGTAGGAGCTTTGAGTGATTGACCTTCTCTAGGCCACAGTTTCTCTAGAAGGGCACTGAAGTCATCCAACCTGAGAGGATGAGTGTGAAATAAAGGCATATGCAGGATAACCCAAAAGGTCTACCATGGTTTCAAACTTCAATAACTGCAGAAGTTGACCAGGCACAATGGCTCACACCTATAATCTCACCACTTTGGCAGACCGAGGTGGGGGAATTGCTTGAAGCCAGGAGCTTAAGACCAGCTTGGGCAACAAAGCAAGACCCCCATCTCTACTAAAAAATTAGCCAGGTGTGTATCTGTAGTCCCAGCTACTCAGAAGGCTGAGGCAAGAGTATGGTTTAAGCCCAAGAGTTTGAGGCTGCAGTGAAATGAGCTATGATCACACTACTGCACTGTAGTCTGGGAGGCGGTGAGACCCTGTTTCAAAAAAACAAGAATCATAACCTCAGAAGTTTTAATACTACTGTACAAACTTTATTAAAATTGACATGGACTAAAACAAACTGTTAAAATTTAAAATTCAAGGCAGGCACAGTGGCTCATACTTTTAGTCCCACCTACCTAAGAGACTGAGGCAGGAAGATCACTTGAGCCCAGGATTCTGGCCATTGCATTCCAGCCTGGGCAACATAGCAGGACCCCAGCTGGATTTCTGTTTTTGTTTTTGAGACGGAGTTTTGTTCTTGTTGCCCAGGCTGGAATACAATGACATGGTCTTGGCTCACTACAACCTCCACCTCCCAGGTTCAAGCAATTCTCCTGCCTCAGCCTCCCAAGTAGCTGGGACTACAGGCAGGCACTACCACGCCTGGCTAATTTTTGTATTTTTAGTAGAGACGGGGTTTCACCATTTTGGCCAGGCTGATCTCCAACTCCTGACCTCGAGTGATCCGCCTGCCTCAGCCTCCCAAAGTACTGGGATTACAGGCATGAACTACTGCACCTGGCCTGGAGCAGAGAACTTTCTTATGGCAGAAGCAAGCTGTCCTGGGCCCTCTTCAGGCTGAAAGCAATGGATGAAGGCCACAGCTGTGAGCAGGCAGCTAAGGTGTCCCTCACTTCTAACTGAAGCAAGGGTAGAGGAGCTTAGATCTTAGATTTGGTGTGTCAGTTGGGGAGGAAGTTCACTGGCGTTTTTTGGGATATGCTACAGGGAAAGGAAAGCTTGTCCTTAAGGAGACCTGATTGATCGTCATTCCCTGCTGCCCCACAGGATGCAGAAGGCTATCAACAGGCTGAGCAAGCTTCTGAAACCTGGGGGGATGATGCTTCTGCGAGATTACGGCCGCTATGACATGGCTCAGCTTCGGTTTAAAAAAGGTATTTTGCCACTATAATCAAAAAATGGTGCTGCCATCAGAACAGATACTTTAGAATTAGAGCTCCATATATAAAGCCATTTAAAATGTGACAATAGTACATTTTTTAAGAAAACTGCAGATGCTTGTATAATGTAGATATTGAGGTCTTTTTAAGCAAGACAGCTACCTTTAGAAGAGCTTTTTTTAAAAAGACATTTGAAAGACGGCCAGGCACGGTGGCCCACACCTATAATACCAGCACTTTGGGAGGCCAAGGCAGACAGATCACCTGAGATCAGGAGTTTGAGATCAGCCTGGTCAACATGGTAAAACCCCGTCTTTACTAAAAATTCAAAAATTAGTCAGGATAGTGGCAGGCGCCATAGTCCCAGGTACTTGGGAGGCTGAGACAGGAGAATCACTTGAACCTGGGAGGCAGAGGTTACGATAAGCCAAGATCACACACTACTGCACTCCAGCCTGGATGACAGGGCCTGACTACTCCTCAAAAAAAAAAAAAAAAAATGAAAGAAAGACATTTGAAAGACATAAATAATTTTAAATGTAGCATCACAAAAAATACCATTAAACATGTAAAAGGCAAATGAGAGAGTAAGAAGGAATATTTTCAGTGCACATAATAAAGACTTAATATCGCTGCTCTTCAAGGAGCTGTCATGAAATTGATAAGAAAAAGATCAGTGTCCCACCCAAAAAACAGGAATATTTAATCAGTTCACAGAAGAGCATATCTAAATGGCCAATAAACAACACTTCAAGGAAATAAAAATAATGAGTTCGTACTTCTTATTGCTGGCCAATTCAAAGAAAGAAGTGCATTCCTTCATTACTGGTAGAAATAGAAATTGTTACAGCCTTTTTTTTTGACTTTCACTCGTTTCCCAGGCTGGAGTGCAATGGCACGATCTCGGCTCACTACAATCTTTGCCTCCTGCCTCAGCCTCCCGAGTAGCTAGGATCACAGACACTCACCACCACACCCACCTAATTATTTGTATTTTTAGTAGAAACGGGGTTTCACCACGTTGGCCAGGCTGGTCTTGAACTTCTGACCTCAGGTGATCCACCCACCTCAGCCTCCCAGAGTGCTGGGATTACAGGCATGAGCCACTGCACCCAGCATTACAGTCTTTTTTTAAGCACCCAGGTGTTACTCAATCCAATAGTCTTTTTGGATACAGTCAAAAACTAGTATATAACACATGTATGAGCAAAACTTTGCAAACAAAGTGAATGCCCCTGTATAGGTAGATGTGCTTGTCACCTGAGATGGACCCTATACTACTGAGCTTGGAGGGATTTCCATTCCATATTACTCAGTGAGAGGAGCAGTGTGCAGGAGAGTATTTTAAACTCCATCCCTTAATACTAGTATCTGCAGGGAAATAAGTATACACATGTGTGATGATTTGGGCATTCGGGAAGGTCTAGAAGTATTTACCAGGCCAAAAAACTGAGGTAAGGTCAGGGAGGCTAGCAGCAGAAGGGAAAGCATGTTCATGATCAAAAGAGTATCCGAGTTGTTGTATTTATGATTGTGTAGACACATGAAGAAACACGCAAAGGACAGTCACCACCAAAATGGTAATGGCTGTCTCAAGTTTCCTTAAACTCAGCTATATTGCTTAATTAAAAAAAAAAAACAAAAAATGGGCCCAGCGTGGTGACTCATGCTTTTAATCCCAGCACTTTGGGAGGCCGAGGCAGGTGGATCACCTGAGGTCAGGAGTTCAAGACCAGCCTGGCCAACATGGTGAAACCCCATCTCTCCTAAAAATACAAAAAATTAGCCAGGCGTGGTGGTGTGCCTGTAATCCCAGGTACTCCGGAGGCTGAGGCAGGAGAATCTCTTGAATCTGGGAGGCGGAGTTTGCAGTGAGCCAGGGTCACGCCATTGCACTCCAGCCTGGACATCAAGAGCAAAACTCCGTCTCAAAATCAATAAATAAAAAGTTTGTGCTATTAATTTAATGGAGTCGGGAGAGTGAATAAGTTTCATCAAACAATTCTAGAGTTTTGGAGTGGGACACTTAGGAACCTCATGATTTCTGACACTGGAGTTAGCTTCTTCCCGTTGAGCTGCTCTTCCTGAAGCACTGAGGCAGGAGTGCTCTTCACCCAGCAAAGTGTGTTTGATTTTTACCACACTACTCTGCAGGTCAGTGTCTATCTGGAAATTTCTACGTGAGAGGTGATGGAACCAGGGTTTACTTCTTCACACAAGGTATGAAACACTCATCTTTTTATGCTAAAAGTTCCTAATACCAGATGAGATGGTCTTCAAGGCACATTCAGAAAGAAGACTATCTGGCCCCTCCTGCCTTTTAGGCCGGCGGTTTCCTGCAGTTCCCCACTGCTCACTCCCTCCTCCACCCTGGGCTAGGATAACCATGGCAGCCAGCCACTCAGGGGCGCCAGGCAGCCCTGCCTTGTCCATTCCTTCAGTCCTGCTCTGCTCTCCCTTTCTGCCACTGTCCAAATTGGGAAGCCTACCCGTTCTGCAAGGCTCATCTCCATTCCAGCCCATTTCACCTTCTGCGTGGGGTTGTGCTTTGGTGAGTCATGTCCTCTGGGTTCTAGGGGTGCCGGGAACTGCTCTCCTCTGCAACTGGCCCTGGCCACAGGCTTCACCCTTCACCTGGGCCTTAGGAATTCTCCATTCCTGGGCTCTTTTTGGGGTCACCTTCTTTGAGCCTTTGGTTAAGAAATGAAACCTCTTTCCTAACAATTGCTTTGACATACATATATAGAGATTTTTGCCTATGATTTTAAGGTATTCATAGAGCCTAAAGGCCAAATATAAACCAAAGGTTTTAAAAAAGAAAAACCCGTGGCCCATACGCGGGGGCTTCCCCTACCTAAACATGAACTTGCTGTTACCAAATGACCACTGCATTTATAAGCAAATGGCCACATAAAAAACATGACAGCAACTTCCCAGAGCCCCATTTAACAAGGGACTTAGTAGATAAAAATGCCTTTTCTTGAGGGGAAAACTTATAAACACCTTTTCTTTTGCATACAGAGGAACTGGATGTACTTTTCACCACTGCTGGGCTGGAAAAGGTTCAGAATCTGGTGGACCGACGCCTGCAGGTGAACCGAGGGAAGCAACTGACAATGTACCGGGTTTGGATTCAGTGCAAATACCGCAAGCCTCTTCTGTCCAGCACCAGCTGAGCGGCACCTGCTCTCACACGATGCAAGCTCATTGTGTTTGCGGGCGTTTTTCAAAAACATTTGTAGCACCGGGCGTGGTGGTCCATGCCTGTAATCCCAGCCACTCAGGAGGCTGAGGCAGGGAGGATCCGAGCCCAGGAGTCCAGCCTGGGCAACATAGTCAGATCCTGTCTCTGAAAGTAATAATGAAAATAAAAAGAATACAAATGAGGTCTGTTGATGTTGAACAATTCAAGAAATCAGACTTGAACCTTACACCTAGGAAAAGTTACTTTGTACCAGGATTCTAACAATTATGCTTTCTTTTGTGAAGTCCTTTACACATAATTTTCTCAAGTTCTTTCTTTGAGATCTCAATCTGTCTTAGCATTTTGTAGTAACTGAAATTTTATTCATGGGAATTGTAAATTTTAAAACACCAATTTATTTCCATGGGAAAAAAGTATTATATATTATTATATTTGACTGTAATTGCATTAAATCTTTTGAGAGTGCAAATGCCGGGCTGTGCAATTGCAGTAAATACATACAGAAGTTAGCGAAGAGCTATTAAGTTGTAGGGGAAATAAGCTGGGAAGAATCTGATTCGATATTTTCCTGACACAAAAATGACCCTATAGAGAGCATCAGAATGTGGTATTCTTGTTAAGTAATTGATCCTGGTCTTCACTGTAAATCTTAGTCCTGCTCACGCCTATAATCCCAGCACTTTGGGAGGCCGAGGCCAGCAGATCACCTGAGGTCAGGAGGTAGAGACCAACCTAGCCAACATGGTGAAACCCTGTTTCTACTAAAAATACAAAAATTAGCTGGGTGTGGTGGTGCGTGCCTGTAATCCCAGCTATTCAGGAGGCTGAAGCAGGATCTCGCTTGAACCAGGGAGGCGGAGGTTTGCAGTGAGCTGAGATTGTGCCACCGCACTCCAGTCTGGGCAACAAGAGCGAAACTCCATCTCAAAACAAAAAAAGATGCCTGGCTTTTACCTTTTTAATGTTTTTCCAGATTTTGGAATAATAAATTTATATAAGAATACTGCAAGAATAGTCCATTTTTTTCTGATGTCCCAACATCACCAAATATATTATCAAACATATGCATCATAAGTAGGGATACATGGAAACATTACTACCAGCCAGAAACCATGTTTGCCCGGCAGTCCCAATAATAGCTTTATCATGCAAAAACACCATTATATTCTCTGGGCACAGTGGCTCCTGTAATCCTAGCATTTTGGAAGCCCAAGGCAGAAGGATGGCAAGGCCAAGGGTTCAAGAACAGGCTGGGTAATGTAGCAAGACCCTGCCTTTTAACAAAATGTAAAAAATAAAGAATTGTATTGAATTTAGTAGTGGTGTCTCGGTCCCCTTTAGTCTACAGTTCAGGCTTGCTTTTGCACCTTGGCATTTTAAGGTAAGAGGCTATTGTGTAAACTCGAATTGGGTTTGGTGTTTCCTCATGATTCGGTTCAGACTCTGCATTTTGGGCGGGAATATTCAGAAGTGATGCTGTGTTCTTCACATAGTATTGTATCAGGCGACACGTGATTATGAATTTCTCCATTATTGGTGATGTCACTTAGTTGTGACTGCCAGGTTCCCCCACTGTAAAGTTAATAAATATTTTGTAGGGAAGTGCTTTGAGACTAAACATCCTGTTCCTCATCAGACTTCTACCCCCGACTTTCAGTATCTATTGGTTTTTTTGGCTGAATAACTATGATAGTTGCCAAATAGTGGTTTCTGATCCTTCCATTCCTTCTACACTGATTGGTTGGTACTGGGTACGGAAAAGCTTTCTCTTAACTCATTTACTTGTCTCAATATGGACCCATAGGTATTCGAGTTTTTTGTAGGGTTATTTGTTTTTGTGAGACAGGCTCACCCAGGCTGGAATGCAGCAGCACAATCACTGCTCACTGCAGCCTCAACCTCCCAGGCTCGGGTCACCCACCTCAGCCTCCCAAGTAGGTGGAACTATAGGTATGTGCCACCAAGCCTAATTTCTGTATTTTTTGTAGAGATGGGGTTTCACCATGTTACCCAGGCTGGTGTTGAACTCCTGAGCTCAAGCAATCCTCCCACCTCAGCCTCCCAAAGTGCTAGGATAACAGGCATGAGCCACCACACCTGGCCCCACCTAATGGGTTTCCAAAGGTGGGAGCAAGGGAGGAAGGGAGCTCCCATCTTTTCCATTACTATATTTACTAAAAACTGGAAAAGACTGAATCACTGGGATATTATTTCATTTATCATTTGAAATGAAGAATAGATAGATACATTAATTTAAGCCAGGCACGGTGGCCCATGCCTATAATCCTAGTACTTTGGGAGGCTGAGGTGGGCGGATCATGAAGTCAGGGGTTCAACACCAGTCTGGCCAATATGGTGAAACCTCATCTCTACTAAAAATACAAGAATTAGCTGGCATGGTGGCAGGCACCTGTAGTCTCAGCTACTCAGGAGGCTGAAGCAGAAGAATTGCTTGAACCCAGGAGGCAGAGTTTGCAGTGAGCCGAGATCACGCCACTGTACTCCAGCCTGGGCGACAGAGCAATACTCTGTATGAAAAAAAAAAAGATATATTAATTTAAATGATTCTCTAAAGACTATCCTTCAGCATCCCTAAAGCATTTCAAAGCTATAGGAACAGTTTTTATTCTATCTTTCTGGCACCTGGTTTGGACTTTGGGCTTAGGTTAAAAAGATGAGCCTTTTCCTGCCCCTGCTCCCTTTTCAATGACATCTGAACTCTCTAAGGGACTTTGCATAACGTTTCATCCTCAGAATCTCTAAGGATGGGCAGAGGACAGTTAAATGTGTTGTGGGGATTAAAATGTATGACCTCAGTGCCACTTAAAAAATAAATACTGTCTCGACGACGAGTCTGGCCCCAAATGGTATCTCTTAATATGCTTAATGCAAGAAAGGTGGGCCAGGCGTCGTGGCTCACGCCTGTAATCCCAGCACTTTGGGAGGCCGAGGTGGGTGGATCACCTGAAGTCAGGAGGTTGAGACAAGCCTAACCAACATGGAGAAAACCTATCTCTACTAAAAATACTAAATTAGCCTGGCATGGTGGCGCGTGCCTGTAATCCCAGCTACTCGGGAGGCTGAGGTAGGAGAACTGCTTGAACCCAGGAGACGGAGATTGCAGTGAGCCAAGTTGCACCACTGCTCTCCAGCCTGGGCAACAAGAGTGAAACTCTGTCTCAAAAAAAAAAAAAAAAAATTAGCCAGGCATGGTGGCAGGTGCCTATAATCCCAGCTACTAGGGACGCTGAGGCAGGAGAATTGCTTGAACCCCGTAGGTGGAGGTTGCAGTGAGTGGAGATTGCACTCCAGCCAGAAAGAAAGAAAAGAAAGAGAAAAGGAGGAGGGGAAGGAAGGGAAAGGAAGGTAGAAGGAGGGTGGGTGCTTTGTTGGGCTGGAAGGTGGCTTCAGGTGTGAAGCTGCTCAGGCAGTTGTATGGTTTCCATGTGAAACCAACAGAAGTGTTTCTGAAACTGACTTACCTTCCTAAGTGGTGTTAATTAGGGTGAGGAGATAAATTCAATGTTGTTTGAAAAACAAGAGACAGTTTGAGACAGATGCACTGGAGCGACTGGAGTGAAACCATGTTCCTCAAGGCAGCGATCACCCTGAAAGTGGGTTTTGCACTGTGAAAGGGATTCATCTCCTGGTCTTGCGTGGTTCATGGAGAGCCTGGCCTCTGTTAATGCTGTCAAACCTATGGACAACGAGTCAGCCACCCCTCTTCATGTAAGTTCATATTCTCTTGGACTCTGGTTGGAAAATTAGGCCTCGGAAACTTAGCGGGAAAGGGAAAATCTAATGTACTAAGACATCCTACTTTTATGTAATTGATTCCTATCTTGGCTTAAAGACATACTTTAGTAGGAGTAGGGAGTTCTCTGGCTTAAAAGATGAGCTCAGGACAAGCAGTTTCTTTCACTCTGTTCACAAAGGCCTGTTCTTTGGTTTGTGGCTGCAGCTGCTATTTTCGGAGCCCGGCTGCGTTGATGCGTTGCAGATTTGTCTGTTTCCTAATTCGGTCTACAGGTTGTGATGTGGGAACCCTTGTTAAGAGGTAGATGTGCTGATGGTGAATTTCCCAGGTGAAAACGCTGAAATGTTGCATCATGGCTGCCTCATTTTCTTTTTTTATTTTATTTCTTTTCTTTTTTTTTTTTTTTTTTGATATGGAGTCTCAGTCTCTTGCCCAGGCTGGAGTGCAGTGGAGCAGTCTCGGCTCACTGCAGCCTCTCCCTTTCAGGCTCAAGCAATTCCCCTGCCTCAGCCTCCTGAATAGCTGGGATTACAGGTACCCACCACCACACCCAGCTAATTTTTGTATTTTTATTAGAGACAGGGTTTCACCATGTTGGCTAGGCTGCTCTCGAACTCCTGACCTCAGGTGATCCACCCGCCTCGGCCTCCCAAAGTGCTGGGATTACAGGCCTGAGCCACTGTGCCCAGCCTTAGCACATTTTAATGAGTACTACCCAAGTGCATTAGGTACTGAGAAATGAGTAAGAATGATTACCTGCTTTCAATCCACCCTCATTTGCAGGGTCTGGATTGTTCTCAGTTGATCTAGGGGACTGTTAAAACTATAAAGTCAGTCCCGCTCACAGGGTCTGGATTGTAAAGCAAGATTATTTTGCTTTTCTTTTATTTTTCCCCACCCTATGTGCCCAAAGGACGATTATTGATCTGTGATCTAAAACTTACCTGACAAGCTGAGGGGATCTCCCCAGGAAGGGAAGCTACTTGAGAAACTGAACTTAGATCAGCAGTTGATTGTTCAGGCCGGGCGCGGTGGCTCAAGCACTTTGGGAGGCCGAGGTGGGTGGATCACGAGGTCAAGAGATCGAGACCATCCTGGTCAACGCGGTGAAACCCCGTCTCTACTAAAACTACAAAAAATTAGCTGGGCATGGTGGCGCGTGCCTGTGGTCCCAGCTACTCAGGAGGTTGAGGCAGGAGAATTGCCTGAACCCAGGAGGCGGAGGTTGCGTGAGCCGAGATCGCGCCATTGCACTCCAGCCTGGGCAACAAGAGCGAAATTCCGTCTCAAAAAAACAAAACAAAACAAAAAAACAGCGGGCGTGGCCGGGTGCGGTGGCTCACGCCTATAATCCCAGCACTTTGGGAGGCTGAGACGAGTGGATCACGAGGTCAAGAGATCAAGACCATCCTGGTCAACATGGTGAAACCCCGTCTGTACTAAAAATACAAAAATTAGCTGGGCATGCTGGCGCACGCCTGTAGTCCCAGCTACTCGGGAGGCTGAGGCAGGAGAATTGCCTGAACCCAGGAGGTTGCGGTGAGCCGAGATCGCGCCATTGCACTCCAGCCTGGGTAACAAGAGTGAAACTCCGTCCCAAAAAAAAAAAAAAAAAGAAGTTGATTGTTCAGAACACACCAGCGCCCAGAGATGGGCCAGCACCGAAGGAGGTTTCCGTCAGCTGTTCTGTTCTGAGATGCCCCATCCTACCAACCAAGCAACTGCTGAGCAGGTTTGCACTAACATGAGCTGGCATTTGTCTAGACCTTAAGATCCTTTAAATAGCTTTTCATATATTTAATCCTCACAGTGCCTCT